GACGAATGGGTCCAGTATTACTGACGAATGGGCCGGGCCGGGCAGCAGTGTGGGCATGCTTATCCTTATTGGTTAGTTCTGCTAAAAAAAAAAGAAGGTAAGTTTAAGTTGTGTATGTAGTGGTCTGGTCTAATCAACCAGCTAGCATGCATATGTGAGGAACTAACTTAGCCATCATCCCCGTGCCTGCTTATAGCCTCTTGCGATTCCTCCTCCTTTTGCATTGGGTTCTCAGGAGGATTCTTTTGCATTGGGTGCTAGCAGCATGGATCCCCTCCAATATAGCCAATGCTAATTTGTAATAGGATGGTTTGTGTTGATCTCCTCGCTTCAACTAGAGTAGGAAAATATGTACGTATATGCCAAGTCAGGACAAGTAAGTTGCATTGTGTACGTGCAATTCATCAGTGTCCTTATTATATATAGTCCTTAATTACTGACAAGTAAAAACACCTGAACCACGTGCCTAATAAACATAGGATTATTGCTGATCCTAGTGACTAGTAATTAAATACGAAACGCATGTGTACTTACCGAGTGCGAGGGTAGAGACATCAGTATGTTCCAAAAGTAAACCAATGCCTAGGGGCGAATGTTCAGAGAGACACAATAAGTGCACGCGGTTCGTTAGCCTCTAGGCAGCACGTGGAGTTTACGACTGAGATGAGATGAGATGAATGGCGTATGCTGCCATCGCAGCACCGGCCTTCCTTCTTCTACCGATTCGTGAGTATAAAGCTTATCTTTGCACTCTAATAAATATCAAGAGATAGTTTTTCACTCTAATAAATATATCTGATGGAACCTGCTCTATAGCTGTGTCATATCATTGCTCTATATAGTACCTCTTAATCAAGAGGTGAGGCAGCGTCCTATACTAGTAGCATGGAGTACGCGACATCTGCATTGACTGGCTATATATCCCGACTTTCCTTGGTCGTTAAGCAAATGACAGGCAGGGGCAGCCGTGCACGTGCACGCAGCATGCAGGCGGATGCCCTGAACCCCTCACTCTGACTAGTAGGCTTCCTAGCTGACCCCAACTTCAATTCGTTTGCTCAACAAGCAGCTAGGCTTTATATTTTTTCAGCCAACGAACAGTATTTTTCTCTCACAATAAATCAGCTAACAGTATTTTCAGTCATGGCTTATCAGCCAAGCGAACAGGACGTTTATTTGAGGATCAGTTCATTTTCGCTTTTGTTGAGGCCTCCTTAATTCTAACTAGCTAGACTTTAAACCTAGGATTACAATTTTTTTTAATGTCAGCGCAAGCACAGCCAGGGAGGAAGCGTGTGGCAGTAGGGACGCATAGCACGAACACGCTGTGACTTTCCTGTGCTCCATCCACCTCCACCAGATCACCAACGTGCTCTGCCTGCTCACCTTCATTTGCCAGCCAGTTCCGCTGTCTGCCGAGGGAGGGGAGGGCCTTCTCGTGCTCTTTCACGCCGCACCTGAGACGACCTTCCTTCTCGTGCTCCATCTCCATGCATGTCAGCGATCGAGCGCGGCCGGGTACATGTACATACACCATAGAAAAGTACGTACACACCGACCGCGTTTCATTTCATCGTCTGCTTGCCGCCGTCGACCTTCGGAAATATACCTGTTCTCCTCGATTGTTTCTGTAACTTATAAGCCGACTGATGCTGTTTTGTTATGAGAAAAAAATACTGTATTATAACTGATAAGCATGGCTGATACGATCAAGCGAACAGAGTGATACTCTCCTACTACCATATAGCATAGCATGTACGAAGCACTTTATCTACCAAGGCCTTATTTAGATTGCAAGTTTTTCACTCTCTCTGTCACATCAAATCTTTGGACACATGCATGGAGTATTAAATGTAGATAAAAAAATAACTAATTACACAGTTTGATTGTAAATTACGAGATGAATCTTTTGAGCCTAGCTAGGCTATGATTAGACAATAATTATCAAATACAAACGAAAATACTACAGTGCCAAATACTTATTTCTAACCTCAATCTAAAACAGGCCCAAGCAAGCAATCGGTTTGTTGCTCTGGCTTCCCATGAAACAGGTCCAACAAACGGTTAAATTTGTCATTTTGTGAGTAGCTCGTCTATTATATATATAATAACCACCACGTACGTACTCCCTTTCAATAATATAACCTGACCATGTTTTAGATAGAAGAATATATTAATATAATATGTACACGATTAAAATAATGTTCTATTATCATAACATATATATCGTATAGAATTTAATTAAACTAATATAATTTGATGGTCTAGATTGCCATTGTATTTTTTATAAGTTTGGTAGAAATTTTACTTAAAATTAGCCACGGTGAATAGAGGGAGTAATTAGCTCTAAGCACTTTACCTAAATTTGTTGATTCCATGCATGTAACTGAAAGGGACGTGCCTTAAATCTGTTGATTCCATCTGACTGAAAGAGATGTGTGCCTACGGAGGGCATGTTTGGATGAAAGACAGAACAGGACACACACACTTCGGCACGTCTAACGCTAGCAAGCTTTGACCAACTTAGGCGCCTGTTTGAAATGGTTGATAGCGATAGTTAGGATGGCATTCCTTTTCATGTCGCCATGGTCCTGCATGCACGAGTTACTCAAAAAAAGTGTGACAATATTCTCTTAATCAAGCCAAAGTAAAGCAAAATTCCCATGAACAAACTTTAACAGGTGTGGCAAAAAAAAATGACTATTAGTAGCAAATTTAATATATGAACCAAACAGGGAGGATCTTATCTTTGTCTCCTCGTCCCTTATCCACCCACTATATAGACAACGTGTCTAGTATATATATTGATACTTCCACTGATATTTTGCAGAAAAAAGTTCCATTAAACCACTGTATGGAGACTACAAGATCTGTTTAGATCACAACTGAACTGTAATAGTTTAATTATATATAGGATTATTATAATCTAGGACATGTTTAGGATCATAGCTAGATTATGATGATCTAGATTGCTATGTATAGGATTATTATAATCTAAATTATTGGATGTTTGGTTTTCTTGATTATTGTGGTGGATTCTTCTTAGTTCAAGTGAAAATACTTGCTATCACCAAGAAGCAAGTCCGTTTTTTAGTCTATACCAGAGATAGTTACATCTTATATACTAGGAAAGAGATAGTAAGAAACAACATACCTAACGAAGCAAAAAATAATAAATGCCAACTAAAGTAACCCTACATATATTAAGATTTTTTAACAATTGTTTTAACTATAACATTGTTACGCTATAAATTCATTTTTTTGCTGCAATAGGATCTTTAAAATGCTATATGTACTATCATAGGCCTTAAAATACAAGTACTATGTATGCTATAGTTATTATTCTAGTAAGTAAAATAATAAGGAAGAAAAAACCAAAAACTTATCAAGATCTAGGGTGCCAGAGACAAGAGACAGGTGTGGTGCTAGGGGCGGTGTTGGCGACGCTAGAGGCAGGGAAGCGAGTGGTGGAAAGGTAGATGTGAGGTGCCTGCGCAAGAGAGAGAAGGGCACTAGAGGTGTGTTTGGTTGGAGTACGAGAAAACTTTGTCTTAGCTAGACATGGATTCTAGGCGTTCGATTTTGGATGCATGTGCCTAGAATCGTTTGTCTGACTAGGTAATGCATGTCTGACAAATCCAAACACGTCCTAGACAGTTTAAGGCTTGTTGACAGTTCACACATGCCGATAGATCTATCAACAAATGGCATGTCAATAGGTTTATGTGACACCTTGGACATCAAACATATTAGCCCTATCGATAATCGAAAAGGCCGACTAGCCTCCTATTGACTATCGTTGGTGAATAAGCCTGTTAAGATGACATAGAAAGTGATATGGTGACGTGGTGATATGCTGATATCTATCAGAGTCGGTTTGTTACCCGGCTAAAGCCTGCCACCACAATGGAGACCGCGCCACACTTTGTAGTGAGCTTTTTGGCCACCACACTCGCCACGGAACAGCGCATGAAAAAACTGTGGCGGCCGCATCATGAGGCGAGCAACCAAGCACCAATATTTTTGTGGCTGTCGAACTTTTAGCTATGGGTGGGAAACTAACAGACCCTTAATAGTCCACTTGATAGAGATTTGGCCTACTGCTAATATGGATCTAAATCTACAATTTTTTAAAAACAAGATCAATATATGTAATTATTCTTTAAAGTAATATGATATTTTCAAAAAAATAGAGATTTTTATAGCTTGCAAGGCCCGAGCATGATCGAAAAGGAGCAAGGACCAAGCAGGCAAGCACGCATTTTGTCCGTCCGTTGAAAGAACCAGAAAGCTGCTGGAAGGAGTTTTGTCAACAGATAGACGTGATAATAAATCAGAAATACTATACAACACACATGTGTTTTAGAAAAAAAAAACACATGGATTTTTTTATCTCTCTCCCTCTCTCTCTTTCCCTTCGCTTCCATCTCTCCTTCCTCCTCTCTCTCTCGCTCTTTCTCTTTCTCGCTTCGTTGACCGAGCGGATGGGAATGAGGACGACGACGACCGATGCGTTCGCGATGGCATTCAATGCCGTGCCCCATGCCACGTTGCACGAACCAGTGGGGAGGCGCCACCTCACCCCATGGGCCTCGCGTGTCACTGACTCTATCTTTTTGTTCTTCCATAGAAAAAAAAATTGTGATATGTGATATGTGATATGTGTTATGTGATGTGTGATATGTGGAGACTGGAGGTAGAAGAAGGGTGAAGATTGCTGAATCTTAATCCTATGATGTAAAAAAATTCATGTGTTGAAACTGTATAAAATACATATTTGTCGGGCAGACAGACTCACGAATAAAAAAATGAATCAAATTGAATGGGAGAGACGGGGGAGTCGGAAGACGAAGAGATACTCCGGAGGCACCGATTTGTGCAAAGTACCGTCACTCCCCCCCGCAACCCACAACTCACTCTATTCCCAGCCTCGTGCAGCACCGTCACTCCCCCCCGCAAAAAATCCCAAATCCCTTCCCTCCGCCACCGATCGGGCCTCCATGGCCGCCAAGCGCCGCTCCCGCCGGCCAAGTTCCGGCGATTCCAAGGAGTTGGGCGGCAACGGTGGCAATGAGGGTTCCGACGACGACGAGGATGAGGAGAGCGGCAAGTCCGGCGACACGGCCATGTCCGCCGAGCCCAAGGAGATGCCGCTGAAGCGAGCCGAGGAACCCTCGTCGCTGTCGCCGGAGGATGTTGGGGCCCAGGGCTCCGGCGAGGCCTCTCCGGCGAGGAGCGCACCGCGCGGTGGGGTCAAGCGTGTCAAGAAACCCCCTCCGGCGTCGCAGGAGGAAGATGAGGCGGAGGGTTCTGGTGGTGCATCACCGGCGAGGGGTCTGCTGCCCGACGACAGCGCCGACGCCGGCCACAACAAGAGAGGCGCGACTCCGAAGCGGGGAGAGAAGCGCTCCCCGCCGCCACGTCAGGGAGATGAGCGCCCGGAGAAGCGTGCCACGGGACCTGCTGGCGAGACCGTCGCCCCGTCGGCCCCACGGCGCAAGAAGAAAAGCAAGAGGTCCGCCGAGAAGGACAGGCGCAAGAAGAAGAAAAAGAAGCAGCTTAGAAAGGCCTTGACCAAACCGAAGTCGCCGCCCCAATTGCTGGAACTAGAGCTCAACGACGACAGAGAGGACACACCCTCCTTGCCTGACATCGCCCAAGAAGACGAGCACAATGGCAGAGAGACGGCAGAGCAAGAGCAAGAGCAAGAGCAGAGCAGCACCTCACCCCCAGAGGTCGAGCACAGAGCCCGTGAAGAGGAGCAGCAGGAGAAGAAGATCACAGAGCAACAGCATGCCAGTGACACTTCACCCCCACATGACAAGGACATGCACATCGTCCATGGAGAGGAGCAGCAAGAGAAGGAGGTTGCAAATCAAGAGCATGCAGATGACACCTCACCCCCAAAAGACAATCACAGTGTGGACGAAGGGGAGCAGCAAGGGGAGGGGATCCTACAGCAAGAGCAACCCAGCGACACCTCACCCCCACAAGAGGAGAACCGAGCCCAGGAGGATGAGGAGACAGGGGCTCAAGTGAATGGCAAAGCCTTGCAGGAGAGGAATCCTCCATCAACCAAGCCACACAGTTCTCAGACAGAGAAGAAGCCAGCGGTTGAGCGATCATGGTCCTATGATGACGAGCTCAAGATTCTCAATGCTTTGGTTGTGCACGCCAAGTCCCATAATGGTGCTTTGCCAGATTCATCGCACCTTTTGGCAAATCTCACATTTGACAAAACTGATGCCAACGAGGAGAAGCTCACTGACAAGATCCGCAAGCTTAGGACACGGTACCGCAAGATCCTTGTACAAGGCTGCCCATCCGATGACCTTGGTCGTCGGCTGTTTAAGCTGTCTGAAATTCTCTGGGGCCAAGTTGATGAAGATGAGCGGGTGGAGCCAACATCTAGGGACTTCAGTGTACTATCAAAATTGTATCCTCATCTAGCCAAAGAAGTCAAAGCGTACGCCGAAACGCACAGCTCGGGGGACTTAATCATGGCAATGTTCATGACCATAGGTGATGAGAAGGCCCGCAATCTTGATGCTAAGTGCAAGAATCAACATATTGAAGCATTCAAGTTGGAGTTGGGCCAGGCAAGCCTAATCAATGAATTGCTCTCTGCACTTTCAAGTCTGACCTGTGTGAAGTTCTAGTAAAGATCTCTGCTATCTTTTGTTTTAGTGTAATGAGTAGACTTGCTGTCATTAGGTTAATGTAGGATCAAGAGCCTTCTTTTGGGTACTGGAAAGCTCTTATCTGCTAACTAGTTGGTTGCTTAGATTTGGTGTCTGTTTCTGCATATGGAACTAGCTGTTACAGCTCGATGGTGGAAAACAGTACTTTAACGTTTAAGTATCATGAGCTTAGTGATCTAATCAGACTGCTTGTGTGATCTGTTGGTTTCTGATCTGTTATTGTGTTAGCTTGTGTTTGGGATGAGAGTTTATACTCCATTGAAAGAAGCAAAATTACTTATTATTTACTATTACTTGACAGGGACTTGGCCTAGAATGGATAGCATGATCTGCAGATGTTAGTTTAAGCACTGAAAATTTTCCAAAAGGTCTAACGGCTCTGAGCATTTAAGAATTTACGTTACGGCTGCATATTTCTGTTCGTATGGTATTCACCAGCGTTGTGAATTATCGTGGATGATGCTGTCCTCTATTGGGCTTGGACCTTTCTGTTAATTTTTGTACTGCTAGAGCTGATCACTCCTTTTATCTTATTTGTTTTACCACATTGAATTGATTATGTTTATGCTGTATTTTTCTGAACTCTATTGTGTGGGGCCACTGCTTGAGGTAATCCATCCAGTTTGCTCGTGGTTGCCTGTGATGGTTGAATTCTGCACGAATTTAATGGTTTTACTTGCTCTGCCTGCAGCTGGTGTTATATGCTTCCTGGTGCTGGGCCTTTGTCCCCTTGAGGTTGGTGCATCCTGTTCCTTGTGTGTTTTCTTTTCAAATGTGTTGATGCTTACCTGGTGGTTCCAAGTTAGATGCTAGAACTGCTGACAGCATTGACTTACTTACTCATCCTAAACCAAGAGTGCAGGTTACTAGCAGATCACAATGAAGTACTTTAACCAATTCTCTCTAGCAGTACCTTTCCGAGGCATGCATGTCTTATTTGTTTAAATTTTATCTGTGGCCACCTTTCAATTTATGTCAGATTTTGTGCTCTGTTACTAGCAAAACTTATCGTGCGGCCTATCATTAATCTTTTGTGCTGATTCTAAACAAAGTAGTGCATGGGTGTGGTTATATTGGTGTCTTTCTCTGTTGTGCATGCCTGCTCTGCATAATTGAATTTAGCGTCTAATGTATGTCAACAGAATTGAAGTTTAAAATTGCTCTTGTGGCAACTACTACAGACTGCTATTTTGACTCATCTGCATCCCACAGTTCAGTTCGTAGCAGTTGGCTCTTGGTCAAGTGTCAATTATGGCATTTATATTTTCACAATACTGCATTGATGATTGTAAAAATAGGCATCTAATGATTTCTTAATCTCGATAGCGATATTTTTTTATGTATAGTTCAAACCTTGCCAGTCTTGAGGTTCTTTCCATAGCTTAAGCTTCTGGTAGCATGCAACATGATCGCAGCAATTCTTGTAATTTAATGTTGTTGAGCTTGTTTGCTGCCCTTTTTTATAAGAATATTAACTTAGCCTTCCGTGCAGTTTGAATGGATGATTGCTTTCTTTATCTCTTCAGCATATTCCGTGTGGCAAAAATGGAGTGGCAGATAATGCTGGGCCTCCAGTTTTTCTTTTTCAGGTGTTGCCCATTACAACTGTATGCCTTTCTTTGGGTCTAGACCTTATGTTATCGAGATTGTGGTCACTTTGATATAACTGGATGCTTCTTTGGATAACGAATTCTTAGCTTCAGTAACCTTTTGACATTCACTTTTTTTTTTCCTTACCATCTAAAGCCTTTTTACGGGGCCAATATCTGTTGTAGTCGTTGCGCACTGCCATGTGCTAAGGTAGTACTGCTGGCTCAATGGACAACATTCTTACACATTGCACCCACACTAGTGCGGTTGTTAGTAAAGGTTCATCAACGAACGCACAGTGGTTAGTAAAGGTTCATCAACGAACGCACAGTGGCAGATAATCAACTAGATCGGCAGTGGATTAGAGATATCAAGAACACCCTTTCAGTTCAGGCAACCATTGAACCTGCAAAGCTGGGAACTTGGGACCTAATGGAGCAGATGGTGTGCAGGATGTATAAGTGGGTGCACACAGTGCGCCTGGCCAGTAACTAGCACAGTATGCAGGTGCTTAAGAAGAACCCTCCCCAAATATTGGGATCAGAATATCAGTACTAATTTGTATGCCAATGCCACCCTTCAGAATGAAGCCAAGGTTTCAGATAGGAGCTGATTTTTTTTGGGGATGAAACTGCAGGAAAAGGAAATGAAGCTATCTACATCTACTTACATTGGCATTCCAGGAGGTTTGTTGACCACAATGGTGGCCATATTCCCAAGGGGAAAAAATTACAGATTACAATAATATCATTTAGCATCCAGACTAATCAAATACCTTTGAAAAAAATAGATATATAGTATAGATATATATATTTATGCCATGTAAATCTGAAAGCTACATAGAAATCAATCTGATTCTCATTACCAAGGCACTACTCCCCATCTTTTCCTGAAACCTTTAAAACAATTAAAATGATGTATCTTACTACAATAGAGGACTAAAAAAATACTCGACCAGAGGGAGAGACGTCCAAGATTGTCCTAAAGAAGAATACCTTGGCTTCGAACCGAGGCCGGTTACAGGGGTTTCAGTACCCACTCTCCAGAGTTCATCACTCTACCGTTGCACCGCGGTAAGCTTTGGTACTGCACTAGAGGACTCGGTTACTAACAAAAATATTGTGCTATATAGCCCCATTAGGCTACATCTAAAAACTGGCTCAGTTTACAATATTATTGGTGTTCATCCACGCCACTTTTTTCTTTGTCAATAAACCATAACTACATCAAAACATGATATACATGTGTGCAAGATGAACTGTAAAATAACCAGGCTTTGTAACATGGCACAATACAGTATGGTTGCATGAAGAAATACTGAAGACAGAAACTGCAGGAAATGAAAAATGAAGAGAACAATGGCAAAGATTTGTGGCTCCACAAACTTCCCCAAATAATGAAAGAATGTCAATTAGATCGTCCTCCTGATAATTACTAAAAATACAGATGAAAGTTTGTGAAAAACTGAGGCATAATATCAGTTCATGTCACTATTTGGTCAGTGATTGATGTCGCATCATACAAATTATAAACCATGATGACAAGTCACCAACTTTCTCATTCATGTAATGGTACTAGGGGAAGATAGGTCATAACCGAAGGAAAAATGATTTGACAGTCCATTGTTTTACAAACAAACTAGAAAACTGGAGGCGCGGCACACTTTGAGCTTGACCAGTGGAGAGCCGCGCCACTTTGAGCTTGACCAGTGGAGAGCCGAGCCCGTATGGAGTTAACACTGTGCCAGCTTGAGATAACACAGCTTCGAAAAAAGAGACAATAAAAAATCCAAACAAGATTGTAGGGTATCAAAATTCTGATGGTCAGGAGTCGAGTTATGAGCAGACAAATTGTCTTAACTGTAGTTTGGATGAAGAGGCTACCTAATTGAATGGTCATTTGAAAGTTCAGATTTCTTCTTCATTACCCCTTTTTAGTCCGAGACGTAGCTAGCATGTTGAGCGCTAAAATTTACTAAAACATGATGGTACAATTACAGCTGATTGATAAGTTGATTCCGCGATATTCAAGTTGGTAGATGATGGACGTCCAAATTACAGTATTACAAAAGTCAATCATGTATCCAGTGGAAATTCCTCCACGCATTGTGGAATTTCCTTAATACAAAGACGCACGAACCTTTTGCGTGATCGAGAAAAAAAATCACGTATAAGGTTACAATATTTTTAAAAGTACATACCTTTTGTTATCTTTATTTCAATTTAAGCCTAGATTGCCCAATCCCAATCCTCACTTGAAATATAATTTGTATAAATTGTAGAGCATGAGTTGGGCATGAGACGAAATGAAACACATTCTAGCCAGATGAAACAACAATCTGATGGCAAGCCAATGTAGTCCAAATCAAACAATCATCCTAGGCAGACGCTTGGAAGCGAGCAAAACTTTATTTTCTAATGTTTGAACACAGGAATAGGTAGAGCCAAATCGATCTAGTTTGCAACCTCAACGTGTGATATTGCAATCAATCTACTCACTGATTCATAGTATTCTTCGGGAAGTTGTTTGCTTTGATTTTGGTGGACAACATATTGAAGTTTTCCCCAAGCTCTTTATCAGAATCAGATCTTATCATATTCTATTAGATAGTTTAATAGCGATGTACTGATGTGTGAAGAGTATAAGTTAAACTGCTCCACCTTAATGTAAACTACTTTGCTTTAAGATAAATTTTTTTAAGATATCAGTACAGAAGAAATGTGGCAGAACCGCCCGAAATAACACACATTCGGAGGCGTTCGTCTTTCACAAGACACTAAGCACCCCAAAATCAAACTACATCAGGCAGATTCCGTCGAGCACACCCCAAGGGAGAACTCGAATAATCCACATTTTTCCTCCAGGGTCCAATAATGAGAACGAGTTTACAAAACTCAGTCCATTTCATACAACCAGAGTTCTTAGAAATACATTGTTACAGTACCAAGTTCAGAGTGCGAAAATTAAATAGCGGGATTAAAATAAACGTCTATCGATAATATATAAGGATCCGTCTGTGCCCACCAGAAGAATCCTTCACACAACAGCTACTCCTCAAGCTGCACCTGCAACAGGGGTAAATAAACCCTGAGTACACAATATACTCGCAAGACTTATCCAACCAATGGAAATAATTTCCCGACTCCAAGGGATATGATAAGCTTTATGGTTTGCTGGGTTTCCTTTTTGCTAAAAGCAATACTAATAGTGAATTCTTATGTATGCTTATTATTAGCAGTCATGATTAGTTCATTATCTCACCATTCTATGTAAGCACATGTTCTATTTTCAAGCAAGGGTTGAGCAAACAGTTCTATTTCACCACCTTTCATCTTTCAGTTCTTACCACGATGCTAGATTATAGACAA